TTGTTCAACATTGTGGGCGCGGTCCCGGAATTGCTCACGGTCTTCGCCGCTGGATCCAGCGCGCACGTCTGCCCGCAGCTGGCTCATCCCGGCGTCGTCAAGTACCTCCCCACCTCGCCCGGGGCGATCCAAGTAAAGGCCACCAGCACGGCCGTGAAGAGGGCCGTGCAGGCGATCAGGTGCATACGTTTTGAATTTGAGGCCGGACGATTTGGCAAGGATTAGGAGGCGAACGCCAACGCGGTGGCCTCGACCATCAAGCCTGTGAGCGCTTTCGTCGCCAGTTCGGTGCGAATGCCAGGGCCTACGGCGAGACCTTCGCTGGTGCCGGGAAGGACTCGAAAGCCTTCGCAACGATGCGCCGTGCGGCTGCCTCCGGGATCGGCGCAATCAACGACAGCATGTCAGACGACGACGCCAGCAAGCTCCTCAACGAGACGATTGCCAAGATGTTCTCGACGCGCGACGGCCCGTCGTGGTCCGATGCGAACAACCCCGGCCAGCGGCGCAACCTGGGCATGAGCACCTTCCTCGGCGGCACCGACGAGCACGGGGAGACCTTAACAGTCGCGGAGTCGACCGTGCAGCGCGCGGGCCCGGACATCTCGAAGGCCCCGAAGAGGCCGATGACGCAAGGCGTGTCGCATGAGGCAGGCGGTCTGGCGGCTGCTGCGGTCGGCGCCGCCAAGTCTTTGGCCGGCTTCGGCTCGATCTCCGCAGACGAGTACACGCAGGCCCTTGGCTTCCCCGGCGACTTGCTCGTCGCGCTACGCGGGCACAACATCGAGATCTTCAAGCGCAAGACGGAGATCAGCAACGCAAGCGGCGAAGGGCCCGAGGTTCTCACGTCGGTCTTGCTCGGCGTCCTCGATGCTGGCGTCGAAGGAGCGAGCGCGACGAAAACGTTGTCCGAAATCTTTCCGCAGGTGACCGAGTCCATCATCAGCCTGATCGGCGAAGAGCGGGTGACGTTCGGGACCTTGAAGAGCTGGTTGGAGACCGACACGGTGAAGAAGGCGCATGGCGACAACGTCGCCTCGCCGACCAAATTGGCGACGGACGGCCTTCGGACGTTGATCGACTCCTCGACGATCGCTGATGACGGCGCTCCCCTCGTGTGGCTGCACCTGTGGCTTTAGCCTCTGCTCGGCGCATGGCTTGCCATCTCGGCCTCTTCACGTTCACTTGCGCTCGTTGGCCTCGCTGGCGGTGCTGGGGCAGCCCCGTGTGCTGCTGCGTCGCCGTCGGGCGCCTGGCCATTTTCGCTTGCCATCCTGGCCTCCTCTCGCGCCTTCTAGCGCTAGTAGGCCTTGATGGCGGTACTGGGGTCGCCCCGTGTGCTGCTATGCCGCCGCCAGCGCCTTACTTTTTGCTGTGGGGGCCAGCTGCCCTCGGCCAGGCGCCTG